CTGCCGCCACGCACCGAGCAAGGTGGGATGTGGGGAACGCGTTGGGCTCGGCCGACGGTCAACCACAGGGCAATGCATGGTCTGGCTGGGCAGCTGCCTGCTGCCGTACTGCGCTATTAATTTCAATATCTCATTTCACCTTCGCGCCGGAGGAAAGTAAGAGGAGAGCTGATCCGGCGTGAGGATGCCGAGAGCTTTCCCCATGCTTTTCCCTGTGGGATGTGGGCACGGGAGGCACAGGGCATCCTCCTGCCCTGCAGCAGAGTATGCTTGAAGCTGGTGGTCCCCACGGTCCAGCTGCAGGGAGGTTTGTCCTTGTCACCGACTCCTCCTGGGAGGACAGCATCATACTGCAAGTTTTTTTTTTTTTTTTTTTAATGGATCAGCCTGTACCGGCACTGGTTCTGCAGTGCTGGAGGCAGACCAGGGGCTGAAGGGGGGTTTCTTGCTAAGTTGGGTGGAAAAAGGACTTTGGTGCTGCCCGGCCACCGCAGCCTGGAGCCCAGCCCGTCCCGCTGCCCAGCCAGCAGTTGGGCTTGAAGGCATTGGGGATAAGAGGGATTTTCAGGGCTGTTTAGGCAGCTGCTCCCGTGGGACCCTCAGTTTGGGAGAGCTGTTGGAGGGGCCAGGGGTCCAGCATGGGTCTGGGGTGTCCCACCACAAGGAAGCCCTCCCCATCTGTCCTGCAGAGCCTCTGGACAGGTCCCTGTCCCAGGGATGCTGCAGTCAGGGTAGCAGTAGAAAGGGAAACTGAGGCACAGAGCTGGGCAGGGGCTTGCACAGAGAGCCAGGGGCCCGGCTGCCCCCTCTCCTGCCTGGCTGCATCACTACTGTCCTTAGGGAGGTTTTCAGGGGCAAAGCTGCCCCATCCCAGAGGGGCTGGGGCAGAGCCCAGGGTTTGGGGTGGCTGCTGGGCATTGCTGGATCTCCCTGTCCTCCCCCAGCTCTCTTGGCTCCATCCCCCAGCTCTGCCAGTGTCCCAGTGGGGGCAACAGAAGGGGCAGGGGGAAAATAGAAACATTTTGTGGGATTTTCATGGCTTTTCCCTGCTGAGCAGCCCTAGTGTGAACCCCAGGTCACCCATGGGGTGCCCTGGGCTGGAGTAGTTTGCTACAAACCCCTTCCCCTCCCGCAGCCAGAGTATTTCATCCCCAGGATGAAGGGACAGCCCTTGAGCATCCCCTCCAGGGACTGCTTTTGGCTCAAGCCGCCTCCTCTCCCATCACACTGACTTCTCCCGTCTCAGTCCAACCCAAAACCTGTTGCTCTTCCTTTCAGCTGCTAGAGGGGTGGGAAAAACTGCCTCTGCCCCAGCCTGGAGCCCTTTCCAGCTGCTGGGTGGGTGCATGGCAGTATGAGGGTGGTGGGGGATGCTTTAGGGCTGCTTTTCAAGGAATAGGTTTAGACTGGGGAAACTGGGAGCCCAGGTCCTTCCTCAGAGCCCTGTGATCTTGTGCCGGGAGCAAGGAGCTGCGAGTCTGCTGGTGAGCATGCAGAGGGGCCAGGGAGCCCTGACTTAGCAGGTACCACCTGAGCAGCAGTGCCGAAATCTGGGGCCCCCCCATCCTCCACTCCACGCTTCTCCTGCCCCACCTCGTGCCTCAGTTTCCCCACAGCCAGAAAAGGTGGAGATGGGTGTGCAAGCCTTCATGTATGTGTGCAACATGCTCACCCAGGCATGTGTGTGCTCACGTGTCCCTGGGGGTCCCTACGGGATCTGCTCCCACCCCTACGCCTCTGTGCTGGACTGTATCTCCCCAGAGACCCTCCCTGGGCTCCCCTGGATCCCCTGCTATAGGGGGCACATCCTCGCATCCCAGCCCTGCAACAAGGAGCCCCTTTCTCTCTGCTGGGCTAGGGGGGGCTGAGTGGTTCTGGCAGCCGGAGGGACCCCCCCCGTTCTCCCCACCT